GGGTTGTATTTGAGTTTGTACGTTAAACTGATCATTTACACATTGTATGCAGTTCAAAGGCTGAGCTAGAGACAGGCTCTGAACATGTTCTCTGACATAAGTGACCTGAATTTGGTATAATTAAAAAAATAATAATAACCTTACAACCATCCAAGTGCATGTTTCCAGCTAATGTCAGCACAAAAGGCACATTAAACCAAATGTTTATGTTGTACATGCCATATCTTCTAAACCAGGGGTCTGCGACCTGCAGCTCTGGAGCCACATGCGGCTCTTTGGTCCCTCTGCAGCAACTCTGTCGAGCTTTGATCAAAACTGACATAAACCTGAATTTTACTGGTCGTTATACCAACAACAAAAAAGAAGTGGTTTAAACAGCTTTCCTGTCATTTATTTTGCAAATATGTGAACACTGGAGCGAGTCCAAGAAGTAAAACATACTTTAACTTGACGCTTCATTTCTTTTTTTATGAAGAACCATCTGCATTATAGATTTTTTTACTTTGAAAAAATTGTAACAACTGATTTTTCCCCCCTTTCTTTTAAAGAATCTCGTCTTTTACTTTAAGAAAAGTTAAAAATCATTAGAAATTTTTTGCTTTGCAATGTCACCCCTACTGGCCACAAAAGCCCCATCCAGCAAACCTAAAGTGGCCCACGGGCCACCAGTTGATAACCACAGTTGTAGCAGGTTGTGGCGGCTCCGGACACGTTTAATGTCGTGAATGAAGGTGTAAAAATGGCTCCTTTGATCTTAGAGGTTGCAGACCCCCCGATTTAAACCTTCAAAAATAAATAAATTCAGCTCTGCCAGTCTTTAATCACAGTATTTGTATTTTTAAATAGCATGCAACAATGCCTCTTTCTACAAACCCTCAAGGTTACTTCTGCTTCAAGCCACCGTCATTATTTAGCACATACTGTATAATGTTTTTATAATGTCTTCTCAGACCAACATGCCTTAAAGTACAAAATTCAGCCTTCCTATCTCAAATACAAATTTGGTGCTATGTGCCAGTCGATTGCAAATGTCAGCTGAATATCCCAAATATCAAGGGTACTTTTCCTTCTCATCCTGGGTGGCTTGAGGCTAAAGTATAGTACCACATTCTTTATACCTCAGACAACCCTGAGTCTTGGTTAGATAAGATAAGCTGGGCGTAATGGAATTAGACTTGACAAGACTCTCACTCAGTGTGTTTGCCTTTGGTGTCTCCTTAACCTTTTCGAAGAAGTGCCGAAACCTCCTGCCTGAGAAGAGCCTTCACGACTCTCGTATACACTTTAAAAGACCCCCCCACCCCACCCCAAGAAGCTTGGGTCCAACTACCTTTTCCTCTCAAACACCTTTAATAAAGTTAAAAGTTCAGTGTAAATGCCAAGTCTCCAAGTTAAAGTGCCTTTAATGGAGTTCTGCTCTTCTAATTGTACTTTCTGCCATATCCAATCAGACAAATTACCAGCTGGGTCAATTTCTTTTGATTTTTTTGCAGTATTTTTAACCTAAAATAGTAATTCTCTGGAGTGAGAAGATAACTTCTATGACAACAGTAGGTTAGCTTAATGTTTTGACGCTAACGCTTGTCTCCTGATTAGACAAGAATCATCTGGTGACCCATCTGATCGCTGTGGAGCGAGGGGCATCACACGATGAAACCATGATCCTCTAAAGTTAATATCAAAATTCATGTTTAGATCGGAAGATAATTCAAGCGGTCCGGACCAGGACTTCAACCATGAAATTGATTCTGTGCACAACATTAGATAAAACTGCAAAGGACAACTGCAGCAAACATCAACTAATCTAAATGCATCCATTTCTGTGCCTTTGCGTCAGAATGAAAAGTCTTGGCTACGTTCTCAAAATAGGCTTGCATGAGACAACACTGCCCCCTGCAGGATTGTTTTGAAATAGCACATGGGTCAAAGTAACCAGACTGTATTCAAGAACTTCTTTTGTGCTTTAACTGCATCATGCAGAGAAGAGCAAATATATGCCAGACAAAAACGATGACAACAGCTATATCCACAGAAATAATATCGGATGCTTTGTTGTCTTCAATTGTACAACTTCAAACTTTGTTACTACGTCAATATTAAACATTTTTGCCCACTTGGTGAAACTTTTATTGGAATGCAACTCTTTTCTGATTAATTACCTGGGGATCATGCGAGGATCCTTGCTTTCAGTGAGCTTCACCACCTTGGAATGCCTTCGTGTCAGGACACTACAGGCCACTAAAGAGAAATCAACACTCTGTGAAGTATTGGTACATAAAAGCTTGTTAAAAATGCTAAGTTTAATAATGATCATTCAAAAGACCATTAGTAAATTCAACTCCACCTGGAGCAGAAGAATTTCATTACTTCTGTGTTGAACTGTAATAACTGAAGCTTTTCGCACATCATCAGCCCCTAGTGTTGTAGTCAAGACCACCTAACCCGAGACCAGGTCAAGACCAAAACCAGTGTACACCGAGAAAAGACTTTTAGGGTCCGAGACCAAGTCAAGATCAAGACCTCAAGTCTTGGAGCTCAATCTTTTCACAGATTATCTGTCGTATGCTCTACTGTCACGACATAGTGACAGTTCTAAAAAATATGTTAAAAAAAAAAAAACATATGTAACTTATGAAAATCCATCCATCCATCCATTTTCTTTACCCGCTTATTCCATTTTGGGTCACGGGGGTCGCTGGTGCCCATGTCCAGCAATCACTGTGCGAGGGGCGGGGGACACCCTGGACGGGTCGCAAGTCCATCACAGGGACACATAGAGACAAACGAGACAAACAACCATTCACTCTCTCACTCACACCTAGGGACAATTTAGAGTTACCAATCAGCCTAACATGCATGTTTTTGGTCTGTGGGAGGAAACCGGAGTACCCGGAGAAAACCCACGCATGCACGGAGAGAACATGCAAACTCCACCCAGAAAGGCCCCTGGACCGGGGTTTGAACCAGGGACCTGCTTGCTGAGAGGCAGCAGCTCTACCAGTTGCGCCACCGTGCTGCCACTTATGAAAATAGTTTTTATAAAAAAGTTACATCCTGTAAGTTTAAGTTTGCTTTTGAATGAATGTATCAGCTTTTGTAAATTTTCAAAGCTACATAACAAAAAAAATCAGACATTCAGTGTTTTTTGCACAATAATGTTCATGTCATGTGACTCACTGACACAAAACTTATGTTAAACTACTTCACTGGACCTGACAGACGAGGCACCTGCATTTATTTTTCATTTTAAAGCATTTTTTTTTTAATTTTACATAAATTTGTTCAAAAATCATGGTTTTCCATCAATAACTAACTAGAAAATGATTGAAAATGAGAAATAAATGATGGTGTCTTGTGTGTCAGGCCTATTAGAATAGTTTAACATTAGTTTTGTGTCAGTGGGTCAAATGATGTAAAATATATTAATTTTAGTTTCTGAAGAGTTTGTTTTGGTAATTTGTTGACGGTCCCTAAGAGAACCATTATGTCTCGGAGGAGGAGCAGACTGAGCTCAGCTGACTGAAATCAGACTGCCTGCTTGGGATCGAACGAGAGCAACACACCGCTGAAGCCACGGAGCTCGAACGTCCAACATAAAACTAACTTCACCGCAGTAGAGAACCGAGGCTCCAGCACGAACGGTTCAGAACCAATTTGAAATGAGAAAAAAAAAATCTATTAACTGATTAAGTCATGGTTTAGACTGATTATTGCTAGAGAATTTATTCTGACCCAAAGTGCAGCCGGGACTGGTTCTGAATGAGGCTTTACAGCAGACAGCCGCTCTCTTCCAGGTACTGCGTACTGGTGCAGAATCTTTTAGTGGTACGCAGTACGGGACCAGACTGGTTTACTTTCACCCCTGGATGTGACGTTACGTTCTGCTGTCTGTATTGTTCTGTTGGTACAGAACCACGCGTGAGTGAAAGGGGGTGGGCGTGACAGTGGTAACAAAAACACGTATTTAGCAACGAGTCAGGTATGAATCAGTACGTTTTGCATCCAATAAAAATAAAGATGTTAACAAATAAACTGGACAAGATTCGGGCAATTTAGTGATATTTACACAGTTGTGGTCTTGAAATAAAATCCCAAGTCTTCAATGTCCAAGACCGAGACAAGACCGGGACCAAATGTGGTCAAGTCCAAGACGAGACCATCAAAAAGTGGTCTCGAGACCGGTCTCGAGTACTACAACACTATCAGCCCCATGTTGTTTTTTTTAAACAAATGACATTATGTTTAAATCACATAATGCACAAGGCATTACTCTTTAATACCGGTAAGTTTCCTGCCTGTTATTTAAAGGATACTCTCCCTCTCCTGTGCTATCATCAGGTTCTGTTGCTCCAGCTGCTGGACCTTGCGTTCAAAATTCCCCTGTTCATCTTTTAGACGCTGCACTGACTCCTCTTTCTCCTCACTCACTCTGTAGGGAAAGAAAGACCAATGTTAAACAACAAACTGTTGACATTACATAATCCAAGAGGTCAAAGAAATACACAAACATGCAACATTTAACTATAGAAGTGAATGATGTAACTCGTCAAAGCTTACCATCTATGAGCTTAACGTCAGATTATTACCTTGCAAGTTCCTCAATCAGGTTTGCAATTCGTTTTTTATCTTCAAGACAAAGGTCTTTCAAAGAGACTTGGCTCTTCTCTCTGCTGTTCTCAGAGTTCACCTGCGTGAATAATGTTCACAAGCGAACAATTATTATTAGGTAGTAGTAAAATATCCTGAAGTGAAACATCACTTATGTAATGAAACATTTACTTCATGACGCAAAGAGGAGAAGAGTTGATTTAAAACAATGCTTTACCTGTGACAAAGGGTGAAATGCATCATGGGGCTTAGAGACTGTGTGCATAGTTGGTATAGCAGCATGTTGGACTGGCACTTTTTCTGTTGTGAAGGCTCCAGAGAAATCACTTTCCAAGTGTCTCTGCGTTCTTCCTGCCGTCTTTTGTGTGCCTTGATTTTTACACTCAGAGCCGTGTTTCTCTCTGAGCTTGGTTCCTCTTTTACCGGATGTACCGGTGCCATCTGGTCCGAGACCGAAAGGCGTTCGAGTCTTCATTCCACTGTCAACTCCTGAGCCAGTTAGTAGAAAGACATAACAGGAAAAAACGCTACGGGTAAGATACGTATTAAAATTTCCCCACAATGTGACCACAAGTTGTCAAAAGATCACGAGACTCACCAGGAACGAATACCAAAGGCTGTTCCTCATCAGACACTGCATAAAGAAAAGAGTCGCTTTAGTTTTATAAAGGACAAGAACACACACAAACCACAGAACAAATTTGCAACATCAGGCTAAGAATTGAAAGAGAACATATTATTTTTAAAAGTTTGAACAAGTAAAACTAAAGTGTACCTCCTGCGACCAAAAGGCAGTGTGTGTGTGTGTGTGTGCCTGTTATCAGAATATTTCATGAACCACGAGACAAATTCAAATAAAACTTGTAAGAGCTAATCACTGAAAGTACAGCTACAACTTAACTTTTAGATTCAACCCCATTCAAGATGGCTGCCACAGCCAGGCGAGCTTAAAAATGCCCAAATGGCTACAACTCAGTGAGATTTAGACGTTGACATACACTTTAACGTGGTAGTCATTCACAACACATTCTGTCCCTGGCATCATACAAAAAAAATAAAATAAATAAAAAATATATTACAACACCACCCCCCACGCATACTGCTTTTTTAAAGGTTTGAACATGTTGGTAATAACACACACATTATATGATATCCTGATGCATGCTCAATAATCCAGGTAGAAAAATTAAATAAATTAAAAAGTAAAGTCCACTGGACGCATTTAATAAAAGAAAAAAAAAATTGTTGAAACGTTTCGTCTTTCATCCAAAATGATTTGTCTCCCATCACCCTCTGTACCACGGAGCGGACAGCGTCCCCACTAACAAAGTTATTTTATTTTATTCGGTTTCCAAAAAATGTCCTTGTATATTACTATTGGGGACGACGGCACTCCATTGACCTTGCTTTGGGATTTAAGCTTGAGGTTATAATAAGCATTTGTTTTTGGAGTGGTGGCTCAGAGGTTGGAAAAGGTGAGCCTATGATTGGAAGGTTGCCGGATCGACTCCCTGGACCCACAACATCAAAATGGGGGTGGAAAAGGTGAGAAACACCCACACCTGTCTCCAACCTAATTTGCACCACTCTGGGCCCTTAATCCCCACCATCTGCTCCCAAACAGGTCTCACTTGAAAATGAGTCCTTGAGACTACCTGTATAAATAAAGGTTAAATAAAATATAATAAAATTAGGTCAAATAATTCAGAAAAATCCATACAGTACTTTAGCATTGTTGTGGCTGAATAAGAGTGTTAGGAAACACAATAGACTTAAGGGACGATGAAAGCAGGTCAAATCTTTAACATAAATAAGACCTAAGCTAACTTAAGAACTATTAGCCAGCTAACATCATGCTGTTTTACTTCCTGACAAAACAACTTTACTTTCCTTCTGTCCAGCATACGAAACAAATGCTAATACTGTGGAAAAACTACCACTTTGTTTATGGTTCTGAACTGAAAATTTAATCTTTCAGAGTTAAATAAAATAAAGTATACCTTCATTCATCCAAAATATCCCTGAATCGTCTCTCTTTTTCGCTGCTGTCGCCATGTTGAAACAACCGCCACCACTCCCTGCGAACCAAGCGTTGCTAAGGGACTTTAGCCCCGCCTTTATTTTTGTAACCACGTCTCTGATAGGTTGAGAGCTGCAATTACCCGCCTTTTGATTGGCTGAAATATACATCGCTATTGCTTCCAAATGGCATTCGTCACTTCCTGTGCGGTTGTTGTCAGCTGAGCTGGAGGATGCTGTGCCGGTGTTAGAGAATGTCTACCTTATTTTACTAAAATAATTGCTCGCAGAATCCAAAATGGAAGAGACAAAAGAGAACTTATTGTTCAAAGGTTTTGTTGAGAGGCTAACACTCGGCATTACTCAAATACTCGGTTTGTATTGATATTTTTCTCATTAACATTAGCCATTTTAGGTTAGCTTTCATGCTCTGTGTTCATTAAAATGATCAAAAAAAACATTTGCCCTTGTTGGTGCAGAGAACATGCCAGGAGTGGTTGATGTGCGTTTTGCAGAGAGGGAGTCAGCAGATAAGAGGAGCCTGCTGTCATGGGAACAGGTCAAAAGAAAATAAAGATTTAATTTGTACAATTTTAATGCTTACATTGGTTATAAATAGATATGTTGGATTTGTCTCCCAGAAAAACACATGTATTTTACCAGAAGACCTGAGAAACTTTTACCTCACAACTGACGGGTTTGCATTAACCTGGAGCGTTAAATTAGACAGTAGGTGATTTCTCATATTCCTCCAAAATATTCATATTCTATATATTATATTCTATAACTCGTATTCCTACAAAAATCTTAGCATTCAGCTCATCTTCAGGCACAGTCTTTACTGCGTGGTTCTGTTTGTGTTCCAGATGAGTGCGTGCCCTTGGGTTGCATGATGATCAACAGTGTGAGCAGGCTGTGTCCTCTTCTACAACCTGTATCGCTTTTCTCTCTCCCAAATGCGCCCTCACTGGCTGACCTGGACTGGGAGGAGAGCAGCAAAGAAAGTGGTAAGCATCTACCGGTCAGATCCTGGTGTGGGTTCAACTCCATAATTACAACGTGTGTGTGCTTACTTGTCCAGAAAGGAGGCTAATGAATGAGCAGTTGGTTGGAAAGTAAATATGTGCACAAGTTTCATTAGTGTTTTCTGTCAGGACTGGAGCGTGCGCCTGCTGCGCCTCATTTTGACGCCCGGAGCCGCATCTTCGAGCTCGATTCTTGTGGTGGGAACGGAAAAGTGTGTCTCGTTTACAAAGCGTGCACTCCAGGTGCTTCATTTAAATTCACATACTCTAGATGTTATTTCATGACAGCATGTTTACTTTTTTTTTTTGGTTCGTGGAAGATTAAAATGCACGGTGGTTGTGTACATTTTCCAGGTGTGGTAGCCCAGCAAAGTGAGATCTGGTTTTTGGACCACTCGCTGTGCTGGCATTTTCTGACGGAAACATTTACCGCCTACTACCGACTGATGATAACACACTTTGGTCTGCCTGAGTGGCAATACGCCTACACCCCTTACGGTCCAAGCCCCCAGGCCAAGGTAGGAATCGACTGTCTCGTTCTTTGAAGGCTTTTCTGGTATATTTAACTCTTGAATTATCTGCAAGTACATTCTATAAAGTAGACTTTAATTTGTATGTTTCATGTTCAAGATGCTGCAATTTTAACTCGTAATATTTTATAAAAAAAATTGTTTAAACTTGAAATCATAAACAGATGTTTTTGAGAATAGTTCTCTTTGTGTATATATGTGCTTAGTGTCAAAACTTGAGTACAGGAAGTAGCATGCTTTTCAGAATTACTCTTCGTATTTGTGCATGCACATTATTTTAAATGATCTGTGGTGCGGTTTTCTCAGCAGCAGTGGGCGTCCCTCTATCAGCCCCTGATCTTCAGCAATGAGCTCAGCCAAGCAGATGCTGCTGGAGATCCCTTTCTAAACAAGCTGGACCCCACCAAGGCTTTTAAAGGCAAAGCCAAAGTGCCACCCCCCCAGAAGAAGCAGCTGGCCCAGTGCAGCTCAGGGGGTGCTGCCAAGAGCCAAGGCAATACAGGCAGACCCGGTGGAGCAAAGCGGTGATAAAGTTCCCTGTCAAGAAAGAAGGAAACCACGCAGTGTTACTGTCTGAACGGCATGGTTTTAAAAAAGTGATCGGCCATTGTTTATTTACTAGACGTCACCTCATCGCTGTGCAACGTGAAGTCAGACAAAGTTAAGTGTCTAAGAAGATGCTTACCCAGGGTTCTTTGGTAATCTGGCTCAGTTTATGTCTTAAGTCGACACAAATGATGCAGATTGTTAACAAATGTTGAAAAGGAAACTGATTGTCCCTGAGCTCACTTTATCTTTCAACTTATTACCAAAACACAATCAATTTGTAAGTGCTTTTATGATTTTTTGGCTGCTCGTTTTTGTTTTATGCTAAGTATAAAAACAGCTTGCCTCTCAAAGTGTCGCACATTTCTGTGTTTCGATAACAGGTGAACTTTTAAAAGCAAGATGTAGAAATTTCCGTCGACAAGACCAAAAGTAAGAACTTGAGTTTGAAGCTGAAAAAGACTGAAATGCAGTTCTGCAGAACAAAAACGTTAAAGACATTAGTTACAGCTTCCATGTGAGAGTCATGTTTTTGTGCATGCAAACCAAAGGTTACGCCGGGCCTCGGAGCGACTTCGTGACCACGAAGTCTGCAGCACCTGACGCACCCGTCATCACATTTAGCTACACAAATGTTTGCAAGCAAGTCCAGAGCAACACAAAATAATACCGTAAAAATTCAGTTTTTTATGAACTGATGTGAACTGCAGCATTTTTCACCTTTTTCCATTTCCTGTTTGTGATGTCAGAAGTATAACAACATACCTGATCAAACCTGATTTTGTTTAGAAACGACATATTTGACCGTTTTTGTCCACAGGCTGCTGTTGACAGGCGTGGTGGAAATGTGCTGCGACTCCTCCGTGCAGTGAGGAGCACACGTCCTGTTTCTGTTTTATTTTCATAAGTATCCGTGCACTGTAGGGGGCTTGTTTACCATTCTTTACATTCCCTGAAATTTCAAGGATCCTGAAGGTCCCTGGTTTTGTGAACCACTATGTGATATGTTGATGTTCTATATTTTATTTACCCTGGTCTTCATGGTCACCTCAGCTGCTTTTCTCTTCATAAGATAAACACAAAATATGAGACAGCATGTGTTTTTTGTCTTTTTTATTTTGTACTAAATTGAATAATCCTCCTTTTTACTCCTTTTTCCCCCAAAATATCTTGTGGCTAGTATGGATAACTAGGTCCACAAAGCCCAGATCCATCTACAGCACAGGTAAAGGGTTTCATTTTGAATAATTTGAGTCGTAACACTTAAAACTTTTTTGGAAAAGTGTTTATGTTCCCATTTAAGCAGTCGGTTTCTGTCCTTTTAACCCTCAAGTTTGAGCAGCATACAGATGTTCACACAGCTGTACAAGCACCTAGATGATTGTATTTGCATGAGGTTTTGCACATGTATCATCACAGTTTTCTTCTTTCTTCAGAGGAATAGATTCCTCCTTTTGCTCTGAGAGAGGCGGGTGGTGCAGCTCTACAAATGCCTTGTACACCCCTGCTCCCAGCACTCCTCCGATGGGGGGAGCCACTAGAGGCACCCACCACCACCCATTTCCAGACCTACACAAATAGAAATCTCGAGACGTTAGACTGAACAAAGGTCAGAGGTGAAACAAAATCCCTTCTTGTTTACCTGAACACGTCCACTCCCCAGCCTGCTATGGCTGTGAAGACCCTGGGTGCAATGTCCCTGGTGGGGTTGATGGCGTAACCGCTGTTGCTGCCCAGAGAAAGGCCGATGAGAACCACCACCAGACCTACTGTGAGAGGTTCTCCACCCCTGGCAGCTGGCTGGTTCTTCTGGTCGGACAGAGCCATCAGGCAAAGAAGCAGCATTGCTGTGCCAAACACCTGGAGCAAACATCAGTAAACATCCCCAAAGGTTTCAACGTTGTCAAATGCAATGGCATAAAATAGTCATAAACAGTACATGGATTATAAATAATAAAATGAGGCAAAAGTCAAATATTGAATCTGAGGATTTTGGAAGTTTTTGATTATTAAAAATGAGCACTGAAAACAAACTGGACAGTTTCTTGTTTGGCACGGAGGACCCTTAGGAAAAATAGATTTAAATGAACTTTATTTTAAGATCCCTGTGAAATGAATTTTATGAACTGAATGACAGAAGATCAACGTTTTTCTGTGTCCAGTTCTGCCTGTCAAATTCAAAATCTTACTTCTAACCCACAAAGCCCTCAACAACCTAGCTCCATCTTATATTACAGATCTTACTGTTCCATATTTTCCTAACAGAGCACTTTGCCCTCAGACTGCAGGTTTACTTGTGGTTCCTAGAGTTTCCAAAAGCAGAATGGGAGGAAGATCTTTCAGTTCTCAGGCTCCTCTCTTGTGGAACCAACTTCCATTTTCTGTCCGTGAGGCTGACACATTGTCCAGTTTTAAGACTTTCCATTTTGATCAGAGTCAGAGTCAGAGTTTCTTTATTGTCATTCGCACCTCATGTGGTACATGTGGTGGAGCGAAATTATGTACACAGGGTCCCAGTTACATCCAACAATAAAATGTATAAGAAAAACAGTAATAACATCTAAGATATGAACTAAGAAAAACATCAACTAAATATACACTAAGCACTCATAACATAAAACATTGAACATCAGCACAAACATGAACATGAGTCTGTGAGCAGATGTGCACGCATGAACACATCAACATTGAAACAGATCAGCAGCAACATGAAACAGATCAGCAGCAACATGATATGGTTTTTCACAGTGATTATTCTAGTTAGAGATTCATGAGTCTAACAGCCTCAGGGTAGAAGCTGTTCCTCAGTCTAGTGGTTCTACACTTAATGCTCCTTAACCTCCTTCCTGAGGGGAGTGGGGCAAAAAGTGTGTGTGCTGGGTGGGTGGGGTCCTTCATGATGCAGGTGGCCCTCTTCCTGCATCTGGAGGTGTAGCTGTCTGTGATGGTGGGGAGACTGATTCCAACAGATTTCTGTGCAGCCTTCACCACTCTCTGCAAAGCTTTTCTTTCTGCAGCTGTGCAGCCTCCATGCCACACATTGATGCTCGAGCACAGGATGCTCTCCACTGCACACCTGTAGAAGGAGGTGAGGACTGAGCTTCCCAGACCAGCTCGCCTCAGCCGTCTGAGGAAGTAGAGTCTCTGATGAGCTTTCTTGATCAGGCTGGTGGTGTTGTTGCTCCAGCTGAGGTTGTCATTCATGTGTACACCCAAGTACTTGTAGCTGGAGACCACTTCCACCGCAGATCCTCTTATGTTCAGGGGGGTGTAGGTGTTTTTGTTCCTTCTGAAGTCCACAATCATCTCCTTTGTCTTCTTCACATTGATGTGAAGGTTATTCTCTCTGCACCAGCTCTCCTGGTGTTCCACTTTCTGCCTGTAGCTGGACTCATCATTGTTTGTGATGCATCCCACCACCGCTGTATCATCTGCAAACTTTACAATGTGACAGCCTGGATGGGTAGCTGCACAATCATATGTGAGCAGAGTAAACAGGAGGGGGCTCAACACACATCCCTGAGGAGAGCCAGTGCTGAGGGTTATGGTGGAGGAGGAGAGGTTGTGGATCCTCACTAACTGTGGTCTGTTTGTTAAAAAGTCTAGTACCCAGTTGCAGATGGAGGGGCTTAGTCCTAGTGTGGATAGTTTGTCCATCAGGGTTTGGGGGATCATGGTGTTGAAGGCGGATGTGAAGTCCACAAAGAGCATACGGACGTAAGAGTTTTTCTGCTCCAGGTGGTTGAGTGCAGTGTGGACCACAGAGGAGATTGCATCCTCTGTTGATCGGTTCTCACGGTATGTGTACTGATGAGGGTCCTCGTTGATGTTGATGGTTGTTTTGATGTGAGTCATGACCAGTTTTTGACCAGATAAATCCTATAGTTAAGGTTGGCTTGTTATGCTGCTATAGGCTTAGACTACTGGAGGTCAAATAAACCACATTTCTATCTTAACACGTGATTCTTGACCTGCCATTGTGTATCTATTCCTACTAAACCCAGCCGGTCGAAGCAGATGGTTGTTTGTCCTGAGCCTGGTTCTGCTGACGGTTTCTTCTTCATGATGGAGTTTTTCCTTTCCACTGTCGCCTTCAGGCTTGTTCAAGATGAGAGTCTGCGATGAAGTTAAACTCAAAGCTGCTCCTCAGATAAATATTATTAATTTTCTTTTTGTTTTTATTGTTCTTATTAGTCATTTACTGGCTTATTAGCCTGCTGCTCGTTTTAGTTTACTCATTTTGAGTCTGCACTTTAGATCGTCTAACCTGCAACCTCCTCACCCAGTGATGCTGTTTAGAAACTCGGTATGTGATTGAGGAGGAAAAGAAGTTGACTGGTACTTGTGTTATTAATTAGTTCAAATCTAAAGTAACTGTAAGCTGTTTCATAATGAGATTCTTCTTTAATTCTTTGGACTAAAATTCACCCATCTTTGTGTCCACTATTCTTTTGGAACGTGTTTTGTCAATTTCAAATGACAATTTAATCATTTTGGAGTGGTATATAAAGTTGTGGTTGTTGTTTTTTTTTTTTTCAATTAAGGTTTATATTGATAACAAATAATTATATTCTTTGGCTGTTTTTCCATTTTACAACATCCCATGGTAAAATCAAGATGTCTTGTAATGCAAGAAAGGACTTAGTATGTCTACCTGGTCAATGAATCCACCCATCAAGGAGAGGTATGGTGCAGGATAGGTGGCAAAGATGCCAGCGGTGGCCTTTGGCCCAGTTACAGTGAGGTTTCCTCCACAGTAATCATAAATGGCTTCTGCAAATATGTTAACAGAATTGTTCATTTTCCATCTTTTCAGAATTGTTGTTGAAAATACTGCATGGAGTAGGTTTTAACATGTACAGTAGTGCATCCTCACCATAATAAACCGCATAAACTGTTACAGCTGCAAGAAACGAAGCAAACAACTGTGCCAAAATAAACAGGGGGAGCCTCTTCCATGCGAGGCGACCAAAAACACACATTGTGAAAGACACTGCTCCGTTCATATGAGCTCCTGGAAAAGAAGCCGATTAAATGTGTTATTTATACAAGGAAAGACCTTTAAATGATCTGTGGGGGTGTCGTATACCTGAGACATTTCCTCCAATATGAACCCCCATAGCAACAGCCAGTCCAAACCCAATATTTATGTTGAGGAAATGTCCAAACGCCCCCTGTCCAGTGACGACCTGGGCCACACAGCCCAGCCCCAGCGCCTGTTCAGAGAAAGAACCCAGAAAACACACGGTCCAGTTATTAATCTGTGAACACTGACTACGTCAACATTTAAACAACTTTTTGTATTTTTTCTGCATGCTTTTGCAATCTCGCCACATCTGCATTCTTTTTGTCTATTTTAGCCGTTCATATATCAAAATGCTCAGTTCAGTCCTTTTCATTCAACCTTTTTTTAAACAGGTTAGTCCCGTTGAGCCACGAGGACTCGTTTACAAGAGCTCTTGAAGGGATGCTTTGACTTTGGGGTTTTGTAACTTTTACATGTTGAACGTAATAATGAATATGCTATCAATAATTTGATTATATTGGCTAAACATTATGTTCATAAATGTCGTTTTTCCAAATGTAAACCTAATGTGAACCACTGGAAGAATGAGCTAAAGTCCTATGCAAAATCTTTAAAATATGTAAAAGGAAAAAATGCTGGCAAATTTCTTAGTTTCTTGGTTAATTTCAATTTCCTCATAAAATGCCTTTTTTACTTCTTTTTATCTTTTTTTATTTATTTATTTCCATTATGTTATGAATCACCTTTTGTAACTTTCGATTGTAAGAACTGGTACTTTTTGTTTTGTATTGTTATAGTTAAATAAAGTTTTTTTAAAGAATTAGAATACTGTATCGTGAAAAAAAAACTACTATAGTGCATTAATAGATTTGTTATTTTGGTTATGACGGGTGTACGATAATTTCCCTCAAAATACGATAATTTTATGTCTCTAGTACGATAATCCTACATTTCTCACCTGGCAACACTGTAGGGATGTCACAATATTTTTTGTCCAAGAGTACGAGTACTTAGGTTTGGGTACTTGCCAATACTAAGTACTAATACAGAGTTACTACTAAACATTACACAGTGATTTTAGAAACACTTTCCTCATATTGAGAACACAACAAAGAGTCTGCTGTCTTAGCATCACCTGTGTTTGTCTTCAGATATCTCTGAATTATGGACATTTGTTTTGTCTTCAGTTACTTGCAAAGTGAAAGGGGAAATCACGCCACCAAGCTTAAAAGTGGTAATGGTCCAAAGTATCAGGGTGTTTTTACGAGTAGGCTGCAAGTACAATCCTACTTGAAGTTGATATTGGGCCCAATACCAGAATCGGTATCAGGACACCACTGTTTGTGCTTGTAGCTTTTGGCTAGCTCTGTGTTACTCTGGATACTTAGCAAGCCTTTTGCTGCCTTTACATTTTAGCTAGCCTTTTGCAATATTTAGCTACCATTAACCTCTTGGTCTTTTTAGATTACCTCTTTCTGCTTGTAGCTTTTAGCCAGCCAATTAGTAATTTCAGCATCTAGTACGCTCCTGATACAATTCAGTTTTAGCTACTTTTTAGATTGCATTTTGCAACTTGGGCAGCACGGTGAAGCAGTTGATCGAGCTGCCTCTCAGCGAGCGAGCAGATCGCGCCGGTTCAAATCCCAGCCCGGGGTCCTTTCAGTCTGCATGTTCTCTCCGTGCATGCGTGGGTTTTCTCCAAATACTCCAGTTTCCTCCCACAGACCAAAAACATGCATGTTAGGCTGATTGGTAACTCTAACTTGTCCCTAGGTGTGAGTGAGAGAGTGAATGGTTGTTTGTCTCTCTGTGTCCCTCTGATGGACTGGAGACCTGTCCTGGGTGTCCCCTGCCTCGTGCACATTGATGACTGGATATGGGCACCAGTGACCCCCACGATCCGAAAAGGAAGAAGCGGGTAAAGATAATGAGTGGATGGATGGATGTAGCAACTTATTGCTTAGCCTTTTGGTACATTTAGCTTTTAGCTAGACATGGGCTACTTTCAGTATTTAGCTAGTGTTTTGCCTCTTTAGCTTTAATGACCCAGTTTCAACTTTCTCAGCAAATTTCATCGACATTATTTTACAGATATATACAGACGTACCTGTGTATGTACATGCATACATATATATACATATATATAGTTATCCAAAAAGGGAACTGAGAAGTTCTAAGTACTGGAAATCAAATTATGTGTGACACAAGGCCAAGAATGTAAGTAAAAAAAATAATGTTTGTCGATGAAAGAGAAATAGCTGACACTGGGAAACAAACTGCAGGAAACAGGAAGAAGTGTTGTTCAACAATAAGACTGAGTATCTGGGTTAAAAGTGAGCTGTAGAACACCAGATGTCTGTGTTCATGTCCTCCCACTTATCCAAATGTCTTGTCAGGCTTTTCTTCACCGTGCACGCAGCAGTAGGGCTTCCAGTCTAGTGGCTTTTTGTAACAGTGACAGATAACGTGACTTTGAACACCCCTCCACTGTTTGACCATTGCTCTTGCAACATTAGGTTTCCTGGTTCTCCCCCTGACACCCACCAATCACCACACACTGAGCACTCATGTGCACAAATGGATTTTTGTGTGTGTTTTTGAAGATTGGGTCAGGTCATCAACATAAAGAGCATGACATCAGTTATACACATGGAGGTCACGTGTGAATGGAGATAAAATGTTAGGACAGGAGCATTCAAACCATGGTGGGTGTAAGAAGTTTTCTGTCACCTTTTCTTACAAGGGGTGCTCAAAACATATCACACTTTACAGAAATGTTTAAAGGAGAATGGGTTCTTACCATCATCACATATGTGCAAAGGAATTCAGCAAGTCCAACGCGTGAGAGCTCATTCCTCAGCCAAACTCTGGGTCGGGTTACATCCGCTCTCCTCTGCAGAGAGACCTCGTGTTCCTTCATTTTTACTTCCTGGTCCCTTGTTTTGGTAAAAGTTATGTTTTTGATTTAGCCCAGAATAAAGACTCCTCGAGTTCAAACTCTCCTGAAGAATTGATGAAATGTTTTCAGTGTCAAGCAGTGATCCAAAAATACAAGACTGTGGCTATTGTCGCCTCTGAATTTCCTTCTATTCTATATCTTAATGTCTGTGTGTGTGTTATTTGGGCGTGCATCTGTCATATTTATCTCTGCTACACAAAATCATTTGGATTGGTCCACAGTTTATAGCTTTGTTTCAACTCCACCTTCTGCTCTTAACCCTCGGTCAGATCCTCCAATAGCTTTGACCAGTGAGGGATTTTTTTTATTTTTTTTAGAAAACCACCCAGCTGAGTTCAGTTTGCCTTTAAAGAGAACTCCTAATAACAGAAACACAATGAATGGAACACATCAGCAGCATTTAGACCCAGTTTTGTGTTTCCTGTCCCGTGTAAAGTCTGTTTATCGGAGTCAAAGGAGCGTGGGAACAGACCGATCAAAGTATTGATGGACAGCTTTAAAGTCTCACATTATCTGAACTTGACGTTAGAACATGTCGAGGTCCACACAAGCTTTTTCCATGTTTTTCCAAACATGTTTCTGTGTTTGTTTTTTTCCATGTTCAAACAAGAGAATACGAAAACATAAAGTGAGGTTTTTAAATGACAGCAACGTTTAGGAAAATACCAGAACCTGTTTCTCACATCTCCATTATTCCTCAGCTCTGATTTAATTTGTAATCTTGTTGACAGGATTTTATTCATCTGGTGTCATGGTTTGCACACAAAAAAAATCAACACTGCTTCTCCAATGGCACTCTGGTAGCTTTTCCTCTGGTGCCCCCTAGTGTCGGGGGGTTGGAAACGCAGACTGGAAGATCCAAAGTTTTTGTGAAAAATGCCCAAATTAGCTAAAAAGAAATTAAAAAAAGTATGAGTTTAAGATTACTGTAATTAGATGTTATTGAAAAAAAAACATGTTTGTCCTTCATTTCTCATTGTGGTGTCTGTACTACACTTTGCTATATCTTAGATCCTTGTATACTGTTTCTTTTTTTATGCTTTATATTTTTGCTATTTTGGGGTATACTGTAACTGGGACTTTGAGTACACAATTTCATTCCACCTCATGTACCACATGTGAAGCGAATGACAATAAATAACCTGTTGTTCAAAAAAATGTAGAGGATTATTTCTCTAGATAATGACGCTTTGTGACCTATTATCACTGAATGACATGTGATAGCTCAACAAAATAATGAGAATCCCAGTGCAGGTAAATAAAAAAGTTTAAAGATTTGCATTCTTTGAAGGAATGAATGTTAATTTCCCTGCCTTTTATGCCTACATTTTTAAGCACAGTGTTTGGGGGATTGATGGTGCAGAGGTTAGAGAGGGTGAGCCTGTGATCAGAGCGTCGCTGGTCAACTCCCTGGTTCAGCTCCCCGGACTGACAACATCAAAATGTGGGTGGAAAAGGTGAAGCACACACACCTGCCTCCACCCTCTTTTGCCCCACTCTGGGCTCTTGAGCAAGGCCTTTAACCCCGCAAATGCTCCCCGAGAACCTTAGATGGCAGTCCTGTGCTTCACATGTGTCACATGTGCAATGGGAAAAATGCTGATAATTAATTTACCCAATATAAGAGAGTACAATAATAAATAAAATAAATTGTGCTATAAAATATGTGTTGAAATATTGTATAGCCATCTTTGAGTTTTCTAGTGAAGCGTTACAAATGTTAGGTATGAGCTGAGTCTTTGCTCCATGTCCGGAAGTAGTGGAGTTGTCAAATGGGAAGGGGGGTGGGGATTTGGTATCTATACACAACGATATGTATATATATATATATATATATATATACACATATATATAAAATACACAATGACTCAATGAGACTAACCTGTATAAGTAAAGGTTGAATGAACAATGGTGTGTGTATATTTTCTTATTCTTCTTTTTATTATTATTGCAGATGTTACAGTGGTGGTTGGACGCATCACAAACAACGATGAGTCCAGCTACAGGCAGGAGGTGGAACACCTGGAGAGCTGGTGCAGGAAGAACAACCTTCATAACAATGTGGAGAAGACGAAGGAGATGTTCGTGGACTTCATAAGGAACAGACACTGTGTTCATTCGTGCTCATCTGCTCACACAGACTCATGTTCGTGCTGCTGTTCAGCGTATAACACCTAGTGCTTAGTGTGTTTTTAGTTATCGTTTTTCTTAGTTCATATATTAGATCTTTTTACTGTTTTTCTTTTACAATTTATACTTTTGTTGGATGTAACTGGGACCCTGTGTACACCATTTTGTTCCACCTCATGTACCACATGTGGTGTGATTAACAATAAAGAACTTCGAAACCTTGAATCCTTGACTTCTTCTGGCTCCTTCCTCGGGGGTCACCACAGTAAACTAATTTACACAAACACTTGGTAATTTGTCCTGCTGAGAGTTTCACCATGAGTTTTAAACCTTCTGTGAGATTTCATTCAATCTTTATTTAGTCCGGTTGATCCCATTGAGCCTCGAGGACTCATTTACAAGAGAGACCTGATTTCAACAAAGGATGATGACAACATATTTGTTTTGTCTACAGATGTCAGCTCTGCTAGCACCATATCAGAGCCTCTAAAAATGACAAAACAAAATCCTTTTACCTTTGTACCTGTAAGAGAAAATGTAGCACGATCAGCTGCGAGATTCAACCCACCTGACCTTCTTGTTTCCCAGAGGCTCATGAGGACCACTTGTAAATTTTCACTTGTACATAATAAACTCTGTTAATATTTTACCTTGTGGAGTCTTGTCTCGTACCAGTCTGGGTCTCCTGAAATCATTACATTACCCAAGAAACATGTTGTATAAAATGTGTTTTCCTGGATTTCAGTTAGGTGGATTTGGCATGAGGGAGTTTACAGAACAGTGCTGAGATCAGGGACATGAAGTCAGACCATTGAGGAAATTGAGCTCCAGCAAGTCTCCACCTCTCCTAAACTCAGCCTGTTTACTGCTGATAGTCACTCAAACACTCCTCCTTGTAGGAGTAAATGATTTGTTGGAACTACTATAAAAGCAGCTCCTGGATCCCATTCTTCTCTTTAGAAACATGTCTTTCCAGGACCTATTGTATTGTCCTGTGTGGGTCTTCTCCACAGCGGTGCTGGCTCTGGTCGTGCGCCTACAGCGCCGAGCCCGCTGGGATCCAAAAACCTGCCCCGTTCGCCTCACAGGGAAGACCGCTATTGTGACAGGGGCCAATACAGGTGAGTGAAGTCTTATTACACATAATCTGGGCACAGACAAACAGAATGGGATGAGTATTTTAGGGGATTTGCCTTTTTTTTTAAAAAGGAGCTTAAAGTAAAAATCCAGACTCGAACATTAAGTGAAAACACCAGCAGCTGTAGCAACATGTGGTCAAAGTGATAAATACTGTAAAAGAGGGAGTGAACATCTAAAACTTTAAGTTAAAAAGTAATTATATTTGTCAAACAAATGTGAAAAGTAGAATATTTCTGTATGAAAAGTTCTGGAGGGGAAGTATGCACATTGAATGGAAATGTTTAGGCACGGATCCTCTCAGGGACAGGAGTTGAGTAATACATTTTTATTGCCTTTCAATTGATTGTAGTTTTAAAAAAAAGTTTTGAAAACTTGTTTTAAAAAAAGCCAAGTATGAAGGAACAAGCAGTAAAATGATCAGAGTTCAGTGCAGGTGCCAGGAGCAGCTGTAGTCTGGGTTTTACTTTGACGTTTTTTTTTCTATTCAGAGAAATTTGTCATTTTTACAATAATGCTGGCTATCATCATTTCATTACTGACTCAAAAGGTTAAGATTAAGTTAGAAACTGCTGAGCAATTAGGAATCTGAAGAAGCAAAACTCTGGCATGTACCTTTTTTTTTTAAAAGACCGAGAAAGGAGGAAAAGTTGGATTTCCAAACATGAGAAATGAGTAATCTCTGCGTAACTGCTTTCAGGCTGCTTCACTGTGTTTTAGGGGTGGGGGGGTCATTGAGTTTCAGTGGGAGCAGCATTGAGATGATTTTCTAACTCAAACCTTGTGTATAAACCAAGCTTTGTTGAGAAATTAAGGGTCTTTTAGCTCATAATGCACTCACAGGGTGGGCATTTGAGTAAACTGCTCTCAGGTTATTTCTGCACAGTGTCAGCCTGAGATTACCGGTAGTCCATATCTGAGAATATAATCTGTTTTATGCTCAGTGTCTGATAAGAAATCAGAATGTGGTTGAACATTAAACACAACATGGGAAGCCAAGTTCTTTGATTTAGAACAAACCGTCAGAGGTTCTTCTGCTGATATTAAAAAAAAAAAAAAATACATGATCCTGATGCATGCTCAATAATCCAGGTAGATAAATCTAACAAGGAGAAATCAAGCCCTCTCGACAGATTCTTCTTCGTTGGAACGTTTTGTCTTTTATCCAAAAGACTTCTTCAGTCTGAGAAGCTGCATCAAACTCAAACAGCATATTTTCAAATGGATCCACCAGTTTTGCTGGTGACGGTCAAAACCAGCTGATCACATGCTCAAGAAGGACCATCAGCCTAACAATGGATCATTAGCACACTGATGGCTGTTTACTGTTCACAGAGGGCTGAGTGATACTAGCAATCACAGCAATGTAAGAGGGGGACAGTTGAACACGGAGGCCTCCACCCCTGTTTAACGATGGACGGTTTCTTTTCACAAAGATGGCCTCCTTTACTCCTCTCTCAAACCATCGTTCCTCTCTGTCCAGGATGTGAACATCTTCATCCCTGAAAGAGTGACCGCTGGCCTGGAGATGAGTGTAGACAGCAGAGTCCTGGCCTGATGATGTTGATCTTCTGTGCTGGGCCATCCTTTTGGCCAGTGGCTGTTTAGTTTCCCCGATGTAAGACTGATCACCCTCCTGACACTGAACAGCATACACAACATTACTCTGTTTGTGCCGGGGGACTGGATCTTTGGGATGAACCAGTCTTTAATGTATTTTGGGGTTTAAAAGCCACTGGGACGTTATGTTTAGAAAATAAACGTCTCAGTTTCTCTGATACTCCCTCAACATATGGAATGACCACTGGTCTGGGTCTGGGTTCCTCCTTTTCACCTGATGGCTGACTGGAGTCCAGTTTGGGTTTCTTCTCTGCTTTCAGGAAGGCCCAGTTAGGATATCCACATTGCTCTAGAGCCTGTTTTGTGTAGGATTTCTACTTCTGCCTGGCTCCTGAGCTAGTGGGGACGCTGTCTGCTCTGTGATACAGAGTCCTGATGACTCCTGACTTGTGCTCCAAAGGGTGATGGGAGTCAAACTGCAAATACTGGTCTGTGTGGGTGGGTTTGCGGTACACCTCAGTCTGCAAATGTCCTCTATCAGAGACTGAGACCTCACAGTCCAAGAAAGCCAACCTGCCATTTTTTACATCTTCTCGTGTGAACTTGATGTATTTATCCACAGAGTTGATGTGGTCAGTAAAATGTTGGACTTCCTGAGATTTAATTTTAACCCAGGTGTCGTCAACATACCTGAACCAATGACTTGGTGGTGTCCCTGAAAAGGACGTCAAGGCTCTCTTTTCTACCTCCTCCATGTACAGGTTGGCAACAATAGGAGAAACTGGAGACCCCATAGCACACCCATGTTTCTGCCTATAATATTGCTCCCCATATGTGAAGTAGGTTGACTGCAGGCACAGTTTCAAGAGTTGACCCAGTTGTTCTGTGGAAAGTGTGGTCCTGCTGCTCAGAGTGGTGTCTGATTTTAATTTTAAACTGACCACCTCTACTGCATCATCAACAGGAAGTGATGTGACATCAAAAGAGACCATTGCTTCATCAGTCTCCATGATGACATCCCTCACCTTATCCACAGATGATTGAGCTTTTAAACCTTTTTACCCTTTAGTGCGAATAGTTTTTCCAACAGAAAAAACATAAAATTTATGTTTTTCAACTTTTTTGAGTAGCAAAATGGCAAAGCTGTATCCTGTAGGAAAGTCCATGCGGGGTTTGAAAATGGCTTCCTGAAAGCCATGTGGCAAATTAAAGAGCTGGTCATGGTTCCTTATGGTCCTCTCCATTTTTTAAGTACTGCATTATATAAAAGGATGCACTGTGGAAATGTGATGGGCCAAAAATATGTTTGTTGCCTGAGGAGAGCATGGCCGCGGCCGCTTCCTCAGGCATCATTGTATAAATGAGTCAAATCTGCTGCAAAATGAAAATATGTGCTTCTTTTGTTTATCCTGCAAATGATATAAAATGTTTATACAGCTGTAATTAAAGTTAACGAGAATAAGATGCTTATTGTTCACAGAGTCACTTCAGAAGAAGTGGTGTCTGTTGATGCAGTGTGTAATTGAACATGGTCCATATTTTACATGCCCAAAACACTGGCAGTCTACGACTGTTAAATTTTTATTATTATGATTTTACCTTTATTTATACAGGTAGTCTCATTGAGTCATGAGAACTCATTTTCAAGAAAGACCTGTTTTTGGGAGCAGATGGTGGGGGTTAAGGGCCTTGCTCAGGGGCTCAGAGTGGGGCAAATGAAGGTGGAGGCAGGTGTGTATAAAATAAAAAACAAAAAAAAAACAGTAAATAAAATGAATTAAAAAAAAACAATCCTCAAGTAAAACTGAGCTTTTCAAAAGTTAAAAAAAGTAATTAATGATTGAACCTCGTTGTTTGGCCGTTTTAACTGTCAGCGGTGAATAAAAGCTGTTTGGTGTTTCTCCTCTCTTCCAGGTATCGGGAAGTTCATCGCCCTGGACCTTGCTCGCCGTGGAGCCCGTGTGATCCTGGCCTGTCGAAGCGAGGCTCGAGGCACAGCAGCGCTAAATGAAATCAAGCAGATTTCAGGAAACGCAGACGTCCACCTACGTCTGGTGGACGTCTCCTCCATGGAGTCCGTCAGGGGATTTGCAAAGAGGATTATTGAGGAGGAGAAAGCGCTCCACATCCTTGTGAACAATGCTGGAGTGTCAGGTGATGCATGTCCCCTACAGCAGAGCAGACAGGGAATTCAAAGCTGCAAATATGCACTTTTGTTCATTTAGAAACAATATAATTTAGTATCTTTTTAAAAATCTATTAACAAACTTCAGTAATTAAAAACCTTGAATATAAGACTGCATGTTGCCCGCCACCTTCTTTGCCAAATTTTTAAACTAAGATCATCTTTTGACGAGAGGGGACAGATTTAGCACCATTTTTATTAACAACAACCTTCTGAGATTTTGTGAGATGTGTTGCACGTATGACTCCCAGCTACTACCACACCAAATTTTAGCCAAATACTTGCCAAATTGACTGAGTTATAGCTATTCATATGTTTACCAAGAGCAATAGGCTCTTGCAGCCGTTCTGAATTGGGATGGCTCCAAGTGTTAATCGGTCGTAAATGTGCATCGATCTAATGGTTCGTTAGATATTTTGCTAACAAGACAGGCGAAAACAAATACACACAGACACAGCACAAATCTTTATTGCACTTTCGCCAGTAGCTGTAGGCAACAATAGCCACAGTAGTTTATATTTTGTGTTGGATTTGGGCAAACACAGACTTGGCCCACACTGGACTTTGTCCCAAAGCAACGGTGAATCACAGAAAACTAGTTAGGCTTTAAGTTCGATTTGTGGAGAAACTGGGAAAGCGTTGACTCTGCAGAAAGACCTTGTTGCTCACTTTGTCCCAACTTTCAGACTTGTGAAAGCAGCGAGATGTACTCTCAAATTTATAACGATGGTTTGAGAGAGGAGTGAAGGAGGCCATCTTTGTGAAAAGAACCCGTCCATCGTTAAACCGCGGCGGAGTCTCCGTGTCAAGTTGTCACCACAATGCTGCCACTGTATCACTCAGCCCTCTGCGAATAGCAGGCGGTCATTAGGGCACCAACGACTGATTGTTAGGCTGATGGTCCTCCTTGATCATGTGATCAGCTAGTTCTGGATGTCTCCAGCAAACTGGTTGATCCACGATGAGAAGGTGCTATTTATAAGACTGAGTTTATTGCAGCTCCTCAGACTGACGAAGTCTTTTGGATAAAAGACAAAATGTTTCAACAAGTTTGTTTTTTAAATCCATCCATAGTACCTGACTTAACTTTGTTAGATTAAAGAAAATACTTTATATTAAACTAAGGTTTTTATTTGTTTGTTTCTTAAAGCCAGAAGGATGGATCTTGGTGTCAATAGTTCTGTAGCAGCATGTCTGGTATTTGGTTTTTATACAAAATTAAACAATTGAAAGAAGATACTCCTGGTGATTCCATAATTTTTGCTGGGGGGCTGTAGAGCCTGATGGAAGCACAGCATGAATGACTGAGAAATGTGTTGCTTTTTTATTTCCTACCAGCACAAAATTCTTCATATGGTTCTTATTTGATGGGAAAATGACCAAAACCAGTAAACGAAGGACAGAGAGGTCAATTGTTCAGCAGAAGGGAAGTAAAACATTCTCATAAATCTGCAATCAACATGAAAACCCCACAGCTTTAATAAAAAATACAATCCTACTTTCTGTGCTGAAGGGACTCTTTGCTTGAAATTGCATCAGCATGTCTAATAATCATCAACGATTGTGGCAAGACATGTTTTTAAAAAGGCCACCGACTCAACAGCGTGGCCAGTCTTATTGAAGAAAAAGGACTTTCACCAACCAGTAAAGTCAGTCATACATGACTGGGCCACAATCAGGTTTGTGTTGACACCGAAGACAAGTCAGTCATCAAACTTAGTGTTGACTTAAAACAAAGAAAAGGGACACGCACTTCTGGAGAGATTATGGTAAACCGCTTTGATGAGGGTAAAGGTTGAGGCTTTTCATTGGTAATGTTTAGCAACCGTTCCAGTTTTGCCTGTGAAAAAGTAGATTATTATTCTGGATTAAATTAAATGCACATTTTTATATTTAATGTTGCTGACAGGTTTGCCCAGACAAATCACCAAAGATGGGTTTGAGGCTTCTTTTGCCACCAACCATCTGGGACCATTTTTGCTCACCAACTTACTGCTGGGTAAGACTGGGTGTCTCTGCAAAACACCAACAGTACCAAGAATGATAAATTATGATTCCTCAGCTTTCTTTTCCTGAGATAACATACTCAACTCCACTAATTTCATTTTCCCTTAATTTTATTCTTTTCTCCTTCTAGACCTGATCAAGCGCTCAGCTCCAGCTCGTATCGTCACCGTCAGCTCAGCCAACCACTGGAGAGGTCAGGTGGACTTCTCCCATTTTCATGGCGAGAACCTTTATTATAGCATGGATCGAGTGTACAACCACACTAAGCTGCACAACATCATCTGTACCAACGAGCTGGCACGCAGGTTACAGGACACAGGTGAGCTAAAGCCAGTCACTTTGCAGATAAGTCTGAAAACAAATAAAAAATCAGCAAGAGCAGATCGATTATTTTGCTGTTTTCTCTAACAGTTAGCCACCCTGCATGGGAAAATTATATTTTTGATTCAAACAATTCAGCATTGCTTTTATGGTGTAGACGCAGGGCAGCCGGGTGGGGACCCGAAAGTCCCAGGTTCGATCCCCGGTCACTGCGTACCGCGTGGTGTCTCTGGGCAGCACACCTCATCCCCAAAATGTCCTCTGGACGCTTTCAATAGCTGCCCACTGCACCACCTGGTGGTGGATGGGTTAAATGCAGAGACTAATTTCACCATTGTATGGAAACATACAGTGATGACATTATTATTATTATGAAAGAATAGTGAAACCTGCTCTGTTTACAGTGTTGAAAAGGACGAAGGGCAAAGAACAGTGGACCAGACAGACTGGTTCTCAAAGCAAAGTGGTGTCTCTAAATTGGGATATTTTGCTGCATCTAGGAGAGAAATTTTAGTATTTTGATGTCTTGTTCCAGAGTGATGGCAGGATGGAGGAACTGATGGAATGATGAACTGGATAGATCTATGGATGGATTGCTTCTTCTCACAGTCATGGTGTAGAAGGAGCTTGGCCCAAAGGCAGTGCCATGGATGGATGGATGGATGGATGGATGGATGGATGGATGGATGGAT